TCTGATCAGGATCCATGCTGTTCGCTGTCAGTTGCTGTACTTGTTATAGGGTTTGCAAGCGAACAGCATGGATCCTGATCAGACTGCGTGGATGCGCAGGCTGGTCTTGATCCATGCTGGTCACAAAGCCATTATGTTGGTTTTGTCGTGACGCGGCTCAATTCTCTGTAACTCTGTGAAATTGGAGGATGAATTTCAATATAGCAGGGGAGTATGTCATGGTTCAGAACTGTTCACCATTTAACAGAGATGATGTGTAAGGGGCCGGATAGCTAAGTTGATAGAGCCATGGTACAGTATTCTGAGGAGACGGCCTCCGTGGTCGAGGGGTTAGAGTTGATGACTTCTAATCCAGTTACTTCTCTGGCATGGGTTCGATCCCCGGGAGATGCTTTGGTAGTTTAGCGCGGAGGAAGGTAGTCTAGTACTGGTGTAACTCTCCAGGAACGATGGTTAGGAAACTACCCGCCTATATGACTGAAATACTGTTGAAAAAGGCGTAAAATGAAGCAAACAAACAAACAAACAAGTATTCTGAGGGTCCCGGGTTTGAGTTCCATTCAGGCTGCAGATTTTTCTCAATGACCCTGTGACACTTGGCACCAAACGGGGGACCTTGACTGAATATAGCGCAGAGTTTAATTAACATTTCTCTGTAACTCAGTAAATTTGAGGATGAACTTAAATATAGCAGGGGAGTATGTCACGGTTCAGAAATGTTCACTATTTAGGAGAGATGATTTGAAAGTGGCCGGATAGCTAAAATGACTAAGAGCGGCAGTGTAGTATTCCGAGGGTCCCGTGTTCAAGTTCCGGTCAGGCTGCACATTTTTCTCACCCTGTGACACTTGGCACCCAACAGGGGACCATGACTGAATATTGCTCAGAGTTCAATTTACATTTGAGCCACGTCATGACAAAGCCAACTTAATGGTTTTGCGACCAGCATGAATCCAGACCAGCCTGCGCATCCACACAGTCTGATCAGGACTCAGGATCAGCTGTTCGCTATAAGTTTCTGTACTTGTTATAGGGTTTGCAAGCGAACAGCATGGATCCTGATCAGACTGCGCAGGCTGGTCTTGATCCATGCTGGTCGCAAAGCCATTATGTTGGTTTTGTTGTGACGCATCTCAATTCTCTGTAACTCTGTGAAATTGGAGGATGAATTTCAATATAGCAGGGGAGTATGTCATGGTTCAGAACTGTTCACTATGTAACAGAGATGATGTGTAAGTGGCCGGATAGCTAAGTCGATAGAGCCATGGTACCGTATTCTGAGGGTCCCAGGTTTGAGTTCCATTCAGGCTGCAGATTTTTCTCAGTGACCCTGTGACACTTGGCACCAAACGGGGGACCGTGACTGAATATAGCTCAGAGTTTATATTTATTTTTCTGTAACTCTGTGAAATTCAAGGATGAATTTAAATAAAGCAGGGGTCAGAATTATTCACTGTTTTGGGGAGATGATGTGTAAGCGGCCAAATAGCTAAGTCGGTAGGGCAGCGATATGGTATTCCGAGGGTCCCAGGTTCGATTTCTGCTCGGGCTGCACATTTTTCTCACCCATTGACACTTTGCGCCCAATGGGGGACAGTGACTGAATAATCATTAGCTCAGAATTTAATTTACATTTCTCTGTAACTCTGTGAAACTCGAGGAAGAATTTCAATATAGCAGGGGAGTATGTCACAGTTCAGAAGTGTTCACTATTTAGGGTCCCGGGTTCCAGTTCCAGTCAGTCTGCACATTTCTTTCACCCTATGACACATGGAAAAAATGTGTCCCCTCTCATCATTTTATCTTTTTTGTGTTGTTGCGGTTGAAGGGCCTATATTTACAAAATACTTAAAAAGGGTAAAAAGGTGTGTGACAAAATAATTTTTTTATAATGTTTCTCATTCTGTCTCTCTTCAAGGTTTTGCTACTTGTAACAATTACAACCAAACAAAATAACGAAATTATAAGCACAAATCAGACACCATAGTTAAGTGATCCTCAATTGGCAAAAATGGCAGCTGACTTAAATGCAGAAAGCTGTGGAGTTACATTGTTAATTTGAATTGTCATTTTTGTCTTAATGATTTGTTGAGTTGGGAAAACGTTTTTTAACATTTTGATATCAAAGTTAATGCAATATAATGACGCATACGTACTCAGTTAATAGAAAGTATTTAGATCACATTTTAACAGAATTTGTCCGCCATTTTGAAAAACGGCCGAAGGATACAAGCCGCTTTAAATCGTGTTATTTATATTTATGGCCTTTGTTGATTAAAAAAAATCATTGAATTGTGAATATTAAAATATCTGGCAAGTTATTAGACCTTTATTCTTAAGAATAAATGTGTATGGTAATGAATGACAAGTTTTAAATTTAAGGTACCCTTTCGGGCAAAATTTTCGGGTAATTTGACCTAGTTTTCGGAGAAATTGGCCATTTTCAACTACAGCTTAAGATTAGTTCTAGCCAATTTAGAAATAAAACAATGGACAAGAAACAAAGTTTAACACCCCTGACAAGTTTTAAAAGCATTTATTTTCATGAATGTAATACTTTTAGAACCTTGCAGGTTTTTTAAAAATGCCCTACGAAAGATGCAAAATTTGGCGATTAAGCTCAATTTCACGCATATATTCTGGAGAACATAAAAACTGTCAGAATATTCAAATACATGTACCGAAATAATTGTTCTATGCTGAAGATTTATACCAATTTTCACAGCGCTTTGTTTGTAAATAAAGTTACAGGCAAGTTTTAAAAAACATGAGTAAACCGTGGTAAAATTACGCCCGTGTGATTATTACGCGACACCGGTTTTAAAACATTTTCGATCATGTCGCGGCGGCCAAGACCTTAAGCAGGCTTTCCCAACTAATTTACAAGTAATAATAAGTCAGAAACAAATGACCCTTAGACACAATGTCAGTGGTTACCTGTCCCGGACTCGCCCCTGGATTACTTATCAGATGTTTTCTGCTATTGAGCTTAGTGGCCAACGAAAACAAAATTCCTTTCAACCATCAAGAACTGATGCGATCTTTTATTATATTGTTACCAAAGTATATTTTTTCCCGGTAAGTTGAGCTTAAACTTACCAGATATTTTTTACAATACGACAGGTGATAAATAATATGCTGATTGTGTTTTTGGTAAGGTGTGTTAACCCTCGCCACCGGATGAAATGATATTATCATACTTACGCGAGATTTGTGCAGATAGTGTGTGCCGTCCCTACAATATTCGACCATTTTTTGTTTTAAATTCAGCTACTGAGACGTTCCCCTAAACAGGTATGAGATAAACGATGTTTACATGATTTGACTTTTACAAATGACACGAGTATACCGGTATTTTAAAAGATAATATGATTCAAACTAATCTCTTTTATTAATATTATTTAAAAACAAACACCTTTAATATCGTATGCCGAAATTACGGAATTATGCACATGTATGTAAATACTGTATGCTCAGCTCAATTTTTAGAGCATCGGATAAGTAATAAACGGTCGCTGGTTCGATCTACGGCAGAGGCGACATTTCTCCGTGGCAAAAGCTCCCAGACATTGAATCTACTGGTCATTTGTCACACCGCTGATGAGATAAACGGTAGGTCATTTGCGGAGAAATAAGTTATCCAGGAAATAATGTTAGCTGCTTTGATAAGACAGAAACATGTGTCAAAAGCGTTTTAAACTGGAAAAAAGGGAAAAAAGGAAAAAACAAAACAAAAAATGATACACATGTAATAATTTGGGCGACCTACTTTCAGTCGGGAAATATATTGATGCCGCTGTAATATTTCAACACTGAATCACCGAAACTACAAGAAAAACGTTCCAAGAAACATTAGGCATGTCTTTTAATCTAAGTCAGCAGGATAAAACCGTTCGACCCTCAATTAACAAACCCTTGAATAAACAACCTTGATTTATCCCTATAAATATGCGAAATGTGTGTTTATCATCAGCGTTAGCCATTTATCAACCACTGCAAACATTAAATACGATATTTTGATCGGACAATCGTCAATAAAGTACAAATCTCAAAGGAACTTGCAAAAGCGAAAGAATATCGCTAAAAACTTAGACAGATATATCTAAACAGAGGTAAAATATGAGACATGAAGTATAAACTTGATAAGGAAAAGGTGTTTCCTGCTAATAAATGTTGACATATTGAGTGATATATTTCGCTTGTTAATGTATTAAATCACATGGTATGTGTATAAAGTTCATCATAAGTGTAAAAAATTCGTTTTTTTTCCGAAATCTTACAGATGTATTTTTTGATAAATTAGAAAAGGTCGATTTATCTATATCAGCATATGGAGATATCAGATGTTCAGAACGTTTTATTCCAAGAGGGTAAATAGGGGTACTTATAAGCTATTTTTTATATTGTTTCCAGAAAACAAAAGCTTTTGATGCGTATATTATATTTGACATTATACGTATCGAATTATTTTTATATTATTATTAGTTAATAGAAATATCTTAGTGTTCCCACAAGTCAACGAACATATATCGCTTTGTGATTACTGTGTTTTAAAGCACGCACAAGAACACAAAAAACACTTGAAACTCTTCTTTTGTAATTAAGCGGATCTAACGATAAATCAAAATGACATAATAATGCTATATAATAGTATAAATTGTGTTGATTATTTCAGATTTGAAATTTTTCCGTAAATGTTGTTTCAAAATATGTCCAACCTCATATGCCAATTGTGGTTATTGTGTTTGCCTGGAATCTCAAAACTGACATTGATTTGTAAAATAACAACAATATTTTGTTTAGGGTGTTAATAAATTACAATGCTAACTCTTTCTGTATCAATATTTTACATTATACATGTGAATAGAGCATGCTTAAAGAATGTATGCAATGTAATATTTCTATTTACTGTTAAACTGGGTCATACTAAGAGGCAGTACCTTTAAAATTATGTTAAACCATTTCACATAAATTGTTTACGTTAGTCAAATACTTTTTGTACATCTATATATTTCTTTGATATTTCATATTATAAGTAACTCGCAAGTTCTTCAATGTGCCGTTGTTAAATATGTAAGGATTTGTTAAGGGGCATACTCGTATAATAAAAATGTGGTATTCATTTGTTATGGTTGCTGTCTTTGGACTTGTTTTCCAGCAATTTCTTAGTTACAGGTAAGTGAAATCTAATTTGTGACCATGATATAAAGTAATATACAAAATATAAAATTATCTATATACGAGTATGATATTTGACAGGTTATATCGTATGCAATTAAATCGTTTATGAGCATTGATTACCCGAGCAATTAGAAAAAATTGCTATAGTGAACAACTCTATATATGCGAAAGTATTTTTGATGAAATTTCTGTATTGAATCTTTTTATTCAGCACAATTGATTGCTTGGATTCTAAAATGAAACGATTAAACAAATGGCTGCACTGTTGTATTTTAATAATTTTACTGTCATGAATAAATGACGGAAATCGTTACAAACACACAGTATTATAGCATGTTCAACGTGCTGAATTTAACCATGTTAGTTTGAGTTCACCTGTTCTATATGTTACAACTTAAAACATACATCATTTGCCTATGTTAAAATTAAATTACTAATGATATAGAAAAAAACTTTACTATAATTATATTGGCAATAATGCAGGAATATTGAAATTCTTTTAAATCAACTTTCATTATACCTGTATAATTTATGTTCTTGTGAACAAACAATGTTTGAAAAAAAACTCTATTGTAGAGATTGGGTGGACTGGTCTACAAAAGATGTGATGAATGTAAACCCGGGTGCCTGTGAAACTATCATAAAGGGTAATCAAGATTAATTCAAATTTTACAAAACATATATTATATATGAAAATACATGTACAAAACCTTCTACAAACAAATTTATACATTTTAAAAGAAAAAACAAATTAAAATAGTTTATATGTATTGCCTTATGGACATAAGGACATGCTTTAGTGTTTAAATATAAATGTAGTTTATGATAATCAAATATCATTAATCTTAGATCGAAGATGATCTTTGACTGATTTTTGTACATTTACAGAGGGCGGATCCGAAGATATAACACATATAGGAAACGGAATCATGTTAATGTCGACGGTAATTTACTTTAATTTTTAATTGACAGTGCGATTGAGGAAAAAAAACATTAATGAAATAAATGGTAAGGAGTGGCTCCGTGGTTAAGATGTCCGTAAGGACTGGTTTATTCCAATAAGCGGACTCAATCTTGGACAAAAGAAACGTGTGATGATTTCATTACAGGCAAAGTAAATTTAACATGTTTAAACTAAACCAAAGCAAACAAAAGAATAACTTTCTTGAACATTATAATGAAGACAAAAATTCGATATAAAATTTGCATTGAATTAGTAATTTTATTGCATTGTATATTTAGGGTTTTGGCTTTCTCGGTCCTCCGGGCAAAATGAAAGCTGTGGATTTGAACAATGGTAACAAGGTGATTACATTAAACATGACAAATATACCTTCTAGGGAAGACTTCTTGTCGTCTCCGCACGGTATTACAACATGGCGAGATCCTGATACAGGTATGTTTCTTTACCTATCACTTTAAGGAGATTACAGTTTATTGTATTTTACTTGTCGTTTTATTCCTTTTCCAAAAACAATGTATAAGATAGAGCCTGTGTACATATAAGTACACTGTATTTTTCGAAATAAATATGTTTAAATCTGGAAGTATAACATTTCTAACACTGGTTACTTTGCTGTGTTGGTGCCTTCATTTAGTATGCCGCTCTTCCTTACTGATCTTGTTTTTCATATATTATTTGTAACCATTTTTTTTCAGATTATGCCCTCGTCATAGATTCGTTTTATATTGTCATTTAACATGGCAATGATGATCAGCTACTGATTCTTTCAAAAAACCATAATTTCGGCAATGATTTTGTTTAATTTTTACTCCATTTTCTTCGAAAATCTGTTACAAACCATTAGTCCTTTTCAGCACATAAGTAATGCCAATTGACACTTGATGAACCATTTTCTTCTATCTTTATACGTTTGAAATTTTTTATTTGAAGAACTTGCCTGTAATCATCATGTGACATCGTGAGTCCTGTCGTAAGTTCTTGTTGGAATGTTAATTTTTCAGTTTTTCTGTTTGTTCAGATCAGTTATTCCTCTATGTGGTTACCCATCCGCCCTCTGAAGATCATATAGAAGTGTTTGAGGTCCTCAAATCTCTAACCTTGAGATATGTCAAGACGATAAAAGATCCGAAGTTTGACTTGTAAGTAAACTTGATAAAACACCCGTTTTTCTTTACTTTAACCACTATTGATATTTAATATTTCACAAAAGTAATCAAATGTTATTAACTGAGAACGTATATGTCAATGTCATGTTTAACATGTTGCATGTTTTATTAAAAAATAAAGTAAAAAGAATATGCTAAATATCGTTCCATATTTACACTGTTATAAAAGGTATTGTTTTTAAAAATTAGAATGATTCCTTCTGATATAATTATGCAATTTTTATCTTAATGATGTTTGGAGAATAATTTACTTTGCCAGAATAACACTTTCTTATATCAAAAATTGAATTCTTGAAACATGTTCGTTTGAAATTGCATTTACAATAGATAAAATAAATAAACAAACAATAAATAAATAAATAAATGAATAATTAAGGAAAATTTTGAATTTTTACGGAATGTAGATCCTAATTTAAATTATGCGTGATCATTAGAATAGATATTCTTTATAACTGCTTTTTCTTTTAAAACTTTGATTAATTAATTGATTTATTTCCAGTATGAATGATCTTGTGGCAGTTGGAAAGGATAAGTTCTACATCACTTACTTTGCCAGATTTCGTGATTACAACCGATATATGATGGAAACGCTGATGGGCATGAAAAACGGTGCAATATTTTATTATGATGGGCACAAGGCACGGGAGGTTGCATCTGGCTTTCACCTTCCCAACGGAATTAACATCTCTCCAAACAAAAAGTAGGCATCTTATTGTGATCTTATTACAGTTGTATATGATTAAAACACTCAAAACAACACTTTAATAATAAAATATAACGATGATGATATTGTATTGTAAGTGTTAAAACTTTATAATAATCTTTCCTTTATCTTTTGTATAATTTTGTTTGTTCTGCTAGTCCAAATCAACACATGCTTTTTATCATTATAATATATTTACTCATAGCATACTATTATTAGTTTTAACGGCATATGAATACAAAATGCAATTGATTGCAAATTGCATTAAACTTGTCGCCTAGTCATTTAATGAAGCTTCCAGGCTAGCTTATATTTGATTAATGGTTCCATTCAGCCTTCTGCAACAGTTTGAAATGGTTAGCTTTATTATTCATAATTGTTTAGTTCATACAAGTACACACTGTAGTTTGAATTATAGTTCCAATTGACATATATTATCTCTCTTATAAAGTTAACCTCGGACATCACATGCATTAAATAGAATCGAGGTTACATGGATAAACAAAATAACAGAATGGATCAATAAATGGTAATTTTCACTAAAAAGTTTTTGTTTTATATCATATTTTGTCATGTCATATGATATCATATTTTAATGTATCATATTATTATATACTAGAGTAATATACCTCGCAGAGGCTGCTGCTAAGAAAATAAGGGCATTCCGTAGAGATTCTACAAACAATCTTGTTGAAATCTGGGTAAGCAAAAATATATAAACATTTCATACATGTGCTCAGAATGTTTGCAATTCCAAACGCCTGTTAGCAATCATTTAAATTTACCATTATTTATTAATTATACATTGAAAGAATATATTTTGTATAGTATATTTTAAGACAGCAATAACAACAACAACAACAACAAAAGCAACAACAAAGGAATGGTACATCATCAAAAATATAAACAAACATTTAAGGTGTCGTCCAGTAAAGCTCACACCTTTGTTAACCCGAAGGAGCCATCCATATAACATAAAGCTTTCTGTCTTTATCTGCAATAAACATTACAAATATCAGACTTTTGTGCATCTTTTTTCAAAATTGTTTTTATCACTCTCTTATTCTAATCGGGTAAAATAATGCCTATAGGCTATTTTTTTAAAATATATACAGCTATATATCTGCTACCTGCAGTTTACAATATTATTGTTTAAATTTTGAAAAAGAATAGTTCAAAAAATACTTATATAAAAAAATGTATCCTTACATCGACAAAGGCATGCACGAACACTTAGCTAAACGGTTAAAGACCCTAATGCAGCATAATAGTTTGTTCTGGAACTTTTTATTCCGTAGTCGTATTGTATTCATATGATTTGAATATTGACATAATTCTTTTTTTTTTAATCCACCATAAATATATTGAAACAACGTTTATTCCGTAGTCGTATTGTATTCATGTGATTTGAATATTGACAGATTTCTTTTTTTTTAATCCACCATAAATATATTGAAACAACGTAATTGTACAATTAATAAATTTAATGAAAATATTTGAGAAAAGATATAGCTTTATATTTTCATAAATCACTGTAAATATTTTTCTCACACAAGTTTGTTTACCATGTTTCGATGTTTTCTTGTAGAGTAATAATATTGGAACCATCCCTGACAATATTGATGTTGACCCCGATACGGGGGACCTTTGGATAGGATCCCATCCGATAGGATGGAAAACTATTGACACATATTTTGGATCTATACCTCCTTGTCAAGTAAGCCAACATTTTCTTGTCATCTCGAGCATCTCTTTCGAGCATCTATTTTTGCCAATTTGTTTCTATCCATTTACTTGTTTTTCATTCAACGCTTTAGAAAATTGGAAAGACATTGTCTTTAGAATTGCATTTTATTTACATTGTATACATAAGTTATATAGCTTTTAACATCGGCTTCAAATTTGACTATTTGCTTCATAAAAAACAATGGCAATTTCATATGTCATCCAATGTTGATATAATTCTTAATTACGACATAAACAGGTCTTGATAACAGATGAACATCTTTAAAAACTCTGGGTCAAACGGTTCTACATCAAACAGATGAGTTCATTAAAAAAAAAAACGTTTACACTTGAAGTTATCTACTGACTCAAAAAAAGTTTAAATAAAATTGCCTAGTTGATATATTTGTATCAACAATGTAGATAAAATCTATATTGTTCTGCTTTGCTTCTTTATTTGTAGATTATCTTATTGACTGCCTGTATTAAAGATAAAGTCGCTGGAATACAATATGTAATTAACAATTAAACAGACCCTGTTAATAAAACCTTTCCTTTAAATATTCCTATTTCTGATTATATTTAGGTTCTTCGTTTGAAGATGCATGAGAATACGATTTCGGAAATAGAGATGATTTACCAAAACGACGGAACTGAATGTTCGTCTTCCACTGTTGCCTCATACACTGCTGGAAAAATGATCATCGGAACTGTTCATGCACAGTCCCTCGTCTGTGACGTGGGATATCTGTCAAAAAACTAAAAGCTAAATGCAAATAAGCTTTACAAAATATCGCAACTGGTATCTTGCAATTAACAATTCCATCCATGGACAGGCTCAATCAAACCGAACCTCCAACATTTTTTTTCAATTTTGTCGTTTTTGGACTTCTTTTAGAGATTCTGTGTTTTTATTTATTTTATATTATTGATGATTTTGGCATGTACCTGCTTTTACGCAAACAAAATACTTTCTTTATTATAGATTTTGAGATTGAAATTTTTTTTTACAAATATCTGGCCAGGTTTTTATAAAAGTGGTATCAGTTAAATTTTCCTCTCATCTTTTGTGAACATACGTAGGGAGAAGACAAAGTCAATTTGTTTGTCCATAATGTAATTTTAAAGAGTTACAGACACAAGTTTTACGTACTTTAGGATCTCGTTGCTTTTTTTTTTTGTTTGGGGGTCCGCCTGCGCTGCTTGCCACTGGTTCAATTGTTGCTGGTTTCATATGGGGTTGCCGTTCATTGAAACGCCGCCTTTCCTTGTTGATCTTGTTTATCATATTTTCTACATTTGTTTTATTCATCCGGACAATGATGAATGTTGATAAACAAGTTAATGTAAATTGTATTTATACAGACAATTTTATAAAGATATTTTTTATAGTTGTTAACTTACTCGACAGTTTCAAATTTACATTTCTTTAATTTTTATCATTGGTGATTTAAAAAAATTGTGTAGTTTCTTTGATATTAGTATAGATTTTACGATTTTTACTTTTGGGAAAATTTGCATGTTCTCTTGAAAAAAATCGTTCAGATTGAAGTATTATTTATATTACTCGTAACACTGGCTAAATGTATATCCATGATCTAAGAAATTACAGAAGAATTTTATAATGCATTTTGGAATGTCAAATTTTCAACATGTATTGAAACAAAACTGCATATCATAGAAGTCATATGTCTATATTTAACCTCAGTATACGCATTTCATTGTCAACATGTTGTTTTTTCATGTTGAAAAATACATGTAAAATAAAAAGAATTAATAAAAATAACTTTTAAGGTTTATTTATAATTCTTATATACGAATTCGCAAACATAACATGGTGACAGTTGACACTATTTATCAGATATAATTATGGTGGCTGATTTTTGCCATTTCTTAATTTTGTTATTTTATCGCGGTTGAAAGGACGACACCGAATAGTTTTAGAATGAGAAATATATTATTTTTCTATTTTGCTGTGCTCTTTTCGGCTTGCAGCCACGGCTGCAAACCATTTATTTGGAAAAGTTGTTCCGGATAGGTGGTTTCCTGCTTACAATTTGTTAGTGCATGATTGAACGTTAACCCGGTCTATGTTTCCGCTGCAATCGTGTCAATCGCATTTATTTAAACGCAATTCAACGTCTTGGTGAGGTAATCTAAAAATAGCCCTTGCCTATCATTAACCTTACCACGTGCTGATCTACTGTAACAGATAGCGAATCCCTGTGTTGTCCATGTAGATATTTTAGGTGTGTAACATAGTTGATACATGCTTATTAATTGGTACCACGTAACGAAGTCTTTTAGTGCATTTAACTTGTCTATAAAGCTGCTATATAAATGAAATTTAGCAACTGCCAAAACAAATGACTCTCTCTGCGAAAAAAAATGGAAATGAAATGTGCACACTTGTTTCCCTTCAGTATGATAGATAGATCTCCACGTGGGAGAGCCAATGTTAGTATTTTTACGATTGATTATTTTCTTTATTAGTTTTATACAATAGAGAAGATTTCAAATCGTTTTTGACAAAAAAAATATTCGTTTTTTACAAAAATAAACTAAATAAACCCTTTATGATATACAAATACCGTAATTAAAAAAAAATGTGATAATAAATTGAAAACAAAAAAAAACAATTATAAAGTTTGGATGATGGCACAACTGAGCAAGCCTTTCCTTTTAAAAGGAAATTTTATTTAGTTTTGTCGTTAAATAACGTGTAAGTTGCTTTCAATCGCGACAACATAAAATAAGAAAAGAATAAGAGGGCGGATACGATATTTTCATGCGGCAACGCGACGTTAATATTTTTGTCGCCTTATATTTGGCGTATTATCGCCTTAAATTGGCGTTTTATTTAAACTGTAATCTGTGCTTCCTACCGAATACGACAACACGGCCCCTCAGGCACGGCAAAACGAAATCGAAGAATTAGCAGTAAAAAAACCGCCATGCATGTGCAAATTGGTAATTAGTTCAGGTTCTTGCCAACCCGAGTCTTCAATTGTATATTGCTTCCTCATGTAAAATATTGTAGTAACAGTAATAGATTATAACTTTAGTTGCTTCTGCTTGATATGGAATATTTTACATTCTGCTTGTCAAAACTTAAACACTATTCTTATAAAAAAAGAAGTCCTAAAAGGTGAACGTATTTTTCATTTTATTTATATCAAATGTAGAGCAGATGGTGCTTTAATATTGCATTAAAATTTGAATTTCAATCAAATTTTAAAATGATTTCGTTTTCTTAATATATATATATATATATTATCTATTGATATTATTATACTCTTCGCCAATTTTTTTTAAAATATAAAACTCTTGTTGTTGATTGTTCTGTTGTTTAATTCAAAGCCTTCAGTAACTGCAAAAACACACCTGTATTAAAATGGCTATCTATTTTCGTGATTTTCTCCCACTTGTGGTTGAGGGGTTGTCTTAAAAGGTCGAGACATTAAAATTGCAGCCATCGTTTATCCCTGCATGATCATAAGCGGCGACTAAATAGGTTCGAATAACTGGGGTCTATGTATCTCTTAGCTCAAGTAGGTGAGGTGGTTTCAAACACTGGTGTTGGTGGTTGCTGTTAATGTAATATAATATTTTAGGTATCCTTATTGCAGCCACCTTTTTCTCTGCGTGATCGTAAGAGACGGTTAACTTGGTAATTCAAATTAAATTATTATTTCGAATTAGTGGAGTCTCTATGCATGTCTTTGCTCCAGCTGGCGAGGCGGTTTTGATCCAGGTGTGTTTCTTTAAAATTTATAACACCAAAATCGTTTTGCCTAAAATAATGACCTGTACTGTATTTGTGAGCCGTAAAACTAAACAGTCAAAATATAAGACAGCGTATCATCCTTGGTACTTTCAAGTACTTTCAAATTAGTCAGATGAGTTTAAATATAACACATATAGGAAACGGAATCATGTTAATGTCGACGGTAATTTACTTTAATTTTTAATTGACAGTGCGATTGAGGAAAAAAAACATTAATGAAATAAATGGTAAGGAGTGGCTCCGTGGTTAAGATGTCCGTAAGGACTGGTTTATTCCAATAAGCGGACTCAATCTTGGACAAAAGAAACGTGTGATGATTTCATTACAGGCAAAGTAAATTTAACATGTTTAAACTAAACCAAAGCAAACAAAAGAATAACTTTCTTGAACATTATAATGAAGACAAAAATTCGATATAAAATTTGCATTGAATTAGTAATTTTTATTGCATTGTATATTTAGGGTTTTGGCTTTCTCGGTCCTCCGGGCAAAATGAAAGCTGTGGATTTGAACAATGGTAACAAGGTGATTACATTAAACATGACAAATATACCTTCTAGGGAAGACTTCTTGTCGTCTCCGCACGGTTATTACAACATGGCGAGATCCTGATACAGGTATGTTTCTTTACCTATCACTTTAAGGAGATTACAGTTTATTGTATTTTACTTGTCGTTTTATTCCTTTTCCAAAAACAATGTATAAGATAGAGCCTGTGTACATATAAGTACACTGTATTTTTCGAAATAAATATGTTTAAATCTGGAAGTATAACATTTCTAACACTGGTTACTTTGCTGTGTTGGTACCTTCATTTAGTATGCCGCTCTTCCTTACTGATCTTGTTTTTCATATATTATTTGTAACCATTTTTTTTCAGATTATGCCCTCGTCATAGATTCGTTTTATATTGTCATTTAACATGGCAATGATGATCAGCTACTGATTCTTTCAAAAAACCATAATTTCGGCAATGATTTTGTTTAATTTTTACTCCATTTTCTTCGAAAATCTGTTACAAACCATTAGTCCTTTTCAGCACATAAGTAATGCCAATTGACACTTGATGAACCATTTTCTTCTATCTTTATACGTTTGAAATTTTTTATTTGAAGAACTTGCCTGTAATCATCATGTGACATCGTGAGTCCTGTCGTAAGTTCTTGTTGGAATGTTAATTTTTCAGTTTTTCTGTTTGTTCAGATCAGTTATTCCTCTATGTGGTTACCCATCCGCCCTCTGAAGATCATATAGAAGTGTTTGAGGTCCTCAAATCTCTAACTTGAGATATGTCAAGACGATAAAAGATCCGAAGTTTGACTTGTAAGTAAACTTGATAAAACACCCGTTTTTCTTTACTTTAACCACTATTGATATTTAATATTTCACAAAAGTAATCAAATGTTATTAACTGAGAACGTATATGTCAATGTCATGTTTAACATGTTGCATGTTTATTAAAAATAAAGTAAAAAGAATATGCTAAATATCGTTCCATATTTACACTGTTATAAAAAGGTATTGTTTTTTAAAAATTAGAATGATTCCTTCTGATATAATTATGCAATTTTTATCTTAATGATGTTTGGAGAATAATTTACTTTGCCAGAATAACACTTTCTTATATCAAAAATTGAATTCTTGAAACATGTTCGTTTGAAATTGCATTTACAATAGATAAAATAAATAAACAAACAATAAATAAATAAATAAATGAATAATTAAGGAAAATTTTGAATTTTTACGGAATGTAGAATCCTAATTTTAAATTATGCGTGATCATTAGAATAGATATTCTTTATAACTGCTTTTTCTTTTAAAACTTTGATTAATTAATTGATTTTATTTCCAGTATGAATGATCTTGTGGCAGTTGGAAAGGATAAGTTCTACATCACTTACTTTGCCAGATTTCGTGATTACAACCGATATATGATGGAAACGCTGATGGGCATGAAAAACGGTGCAATATTTATTATGATGGGCACAAGGC